AGAGCTCTTCGACATGTATTTGCCCCTGACAGGGCGATGGGCCCGTGCAAATGCAAAGCGAAGGTTCATTCTTGGCAATATGCTAAACAGCAAGCTTCAGGAACCTGAGCTCCGGCACCACTGCAGCCTCGGAGCACGATGCTGCGGGGGAGACAGGCAGCAGACCGCCTCGACTTTTGCGATGTTTGTGGTCTGGGCACTCCTGCCATTCCAGATGCCGGTTTTGTGCCGGAAAAACTGGCTAAATCAGGTAGAGGCGATGCAGTGGCTCGGCCTGATCCAGGGGCATCACGGCTTGTTTACTCGGCTGATGCAGGTGTATCTGGGAAGCCCTGCACAGCCTCCGGTTCAAGCTCCCCCACCGCAGGAAGCAGATGCTCCAGTAGCGGTTGCGACCACGGACAATGATGATGAGGATTTCTTCGCTTCATGGGGAGCCGCTCTTGACTTGGAGCTGCAGGCGGCTGGCCCGCGTGAGCAACCGGAAACAGGAGCGGTCCCGGTAGCCAATGCCGACATGGACGGCAACAAGGGCCCTGTTGATCCTGCTCAGGCAGCTGATGCCAAGGACGAACACGAGGCCTGGTTGGAGATGAAGCGAAAGCGCAGGCAAACCGCCGAAGCATTTGCTTTGTCAGATCCACTTCCGAGGCTGTCGGTAATGCACGAGGCTACGACCCCATTGCAAGGGTTGACTGCTGCTTTTCTGCGGTTGAGCAGCCACAAGTGGGAATGCAAACAAGCTGCTCTGCAGGCAGCTGGCCTGCCGAGGTCCTTCATGCTTTTGGAAGCTGCCCGCGGAACGGATGTGACTTCTGTGTTCAAAGAGTTCTTGCAGATACTCTGGTCAGACCCAAAAGCAATCATGGCAGAGAAGTGTGGTTGCTCTCTTCGCACACTGAGATTCTCCATGGTCGCATCAGGGCTCTGCTCTCTGCATTCCCTCTTGAGGCGAGCGCGAAGCAGCCTTCCGTACCAAGCCTTCCAATTGGTGGCTGAGGACTTAGATGAAGGAGAGCTTCGAAGATATGCAGAGGAACTTGCAGGGACCCCGCCTTGCTTGAGAGATGAATTTTGCTCTGCTTTCCTCAAGCTATTCCCAACACCTGCAGAGCTTTGCAGTGATGAAGCCCGGGCGATATTGCAGTCCATTGCTGCTGTCGCTATGACAGACATTGCGAGCATTGAGACCTCCCACTCCAGCA